TCTATGCTGAACCATCCCTGCATCCCTGGGATGAATCCTACTTGGTCATGGTGTCATCATACTTAGTCATTGGCTCCTTGATGAGTTGCTGCATTCTGTTTGCCAATATCATATTGAGGATTTTTATTGAAGATTTCTTCATCTGTGTTCATTAAAGAGATTAGCTGGTAGTCTCTTTTTTGGTTGGATCCTTCTCTGGTTTTGGTATCAGGGTAATGCTTGTTTCCAGTAATGATTGTTAGAGTATTGCTTCCTTTTCAATTTCATTAAAGAGTTTGAGGAGTAGTAGCGTTAGATCTTCTTTAAATTTCTTTCAGAATTCAGCAGTGAATCCATCAGGGCTAGGATTTTCTTTGTTGGTAGTTATATTATTATTACTTCTTCAGTTTCATTAACTGGATATTGGATTATTTAGAATTTTTATATCTTCTTGATCCAGCTTTGATAATTCATATGTGTCTAGGAATCTGTTTTTTCTGAGTTTTCTATCTTATTAGAGTAAAGTTTCCCAAAGTAGGTACTGATGATCCTGTGGATTTCTGTGGAATCCATTGTGATTTCACCCTTTTCATTCCTAATTACATGGATTTGGCTCTTTTCTTTTCTTATTTGCATGAGGTTGCTTAAGGGTTTGTCTATTTTATTTAATCATTCAAAGACCCAACTCTTTGATTCATTGATTCTGTTTGTTTGTTTTTTAGTCTCAATTGAATTAATTTCTTCTCTGATCTTTTAAATTTCCTTCCTTGTACAATCGTTGGGTTTAACTTGCTTTTCTTTTTCTATTAGCAATAATCATGCCTCAATTAAACCTCTTTGCCCACAATACTGCCACTGGGCAAAGCTAACTCTTCTTTTTGTAGCCTTGAGGTTCAACATTAGGTTATTTATATTTGAATTTGTTTTGTTTTTCTGATGTGTGAATTTATTTCTACAAATTTCCCCCATGGGACTGCTTTCATTGAGTCCCATATGCTCTGATACGTTGCATTTGCATTATCATTTAATTGTAGAAACTAACCTCTAATTTCATCTGTGACCCATTGATTGTTCAAAAGAGTATTATTTAATTTCCATGTGCTTATACAGATTTGTGGTTTCTTTTGCCATTGAGTTACAATTTCATTGCACTGTGATCTGATAATATTCATGGGATAATTTCAATTCCTTTGCATTTACTTAAGCATGTTCTGTGAATTAGTATGTGGTCTACTTTGGAGAAAATCCTGTGTGCTGCCAAGAAGAATATGTATTATTTTGTGTTGGGTGGAACACTCTAAAGATATCAACTAAGTCCATTTGTTCAAAGGTTTGGTTCAGCTTTCAGCTCTGATATTTCTTTGTTGATTTTTTTGTCTAGTTGATCTGTGACAGTGAAGTATTTAGGTCCCTCATTACAATTGCATTAGTGCTCATCTGATTTTTCATATTCATTAGTGTTTGATTTTTGTATAGTTGGTATGCTGGTATTTGTTATGTCTTCCTCTTGGATTGTTTCCTTAGCAAGTATGTAGTGACCTTCTTTGTCTCTTCTGATCAGTCTTGGCTTGAAATCCACTTTGTCTGCAAATAGAATAGCTACCCTTGCTTTTTTCTGTGTTGCATGAAGTGTTGTTTTCCATCCTTTGACTTTCAGTCTGTGAGTTTCTTTTTGAGTTAAATGTGTTTCTTGTATGTAGCATATTGTTGGATCTTGTTTCTTGATCTATTCTACTAATCTATTTCTTTTGATTGCTGAATTGAGGCCATTCATATTGATGATTATAACTGAAAGATATTGACTTACCTTTGTCAACATATTATTTTCTTGTTGTCAATTCCTTTTCATTCCCTTCTATTTAATTGGTTGCCTTACCTGGTGGATTTATTCTATTGGGATTCTTGGAATTATCTTTTTCTAGAATAACCTTCAGGACTTTTGGGAGTGCTGTTTTGATGGTCATGAATTTCTACAGATATTCTTTATCATGGAAGTATCTTATTTCTCCACCAACTTTGAAAGATAATTTTGCAGGGTTCATCAATTTGGGTTGGAAGTTGTTTTATTTTAGGACTTAAAACACTTCACTCCTTGACTTAAGGGTTTGTATTGAGAAGTCCACTGTGATTCTGATGGATTTTCTTTTATACGTGATTTGTTTCTTTTCTCTAAAAACTTTTAATAATTTGTTTTTGTGTTGAATTTATGGAATCTTGACAATTATATGCCTCAGATTTTTTTCTGATACTAATTGGAGTTCTATTTGCCTCACTTAGCTGTATGTCAAATTCTTTTTCCATGCTTTGGAAGTTTTCTGCTATTACTTCTGAGAACAAGTTTGTTTTGTCCTTTGTGATTGTTTGTTGCTTCCAATTAATTTTCTGTTATTTTTCTTTGCATCATCTATCAGCTGTTGGATTGATTTTTCATGGTCCCTTGCTATTTTTAAGAAGTCTTTTATTTGATGATCACTAACCATAATCCTATCTTCTAGATCTGATATTCTATCTCCACTTTGGTTGATTCTGCTGCACATACTTTCAATAAAATTTTCAATCTCTTGGATGTCTGTTTGAATCTGTTTTATGGACTTCAGCTCTTTCTCACGTTAAGCATTCATGGTTTCCATCACTCTCCTCCTTTTTTAAAAAAAATCTGTATCCACTGTAGATTAACTAACCATCTCCTTCATTATGGTCATCATCTCTTTAAATATCTGTGTAATTATTCCTGTTTTTTTTTTCCTAGAGACTCATTCATCAGCTTTGTTACTTCTGCTGCTACTTTTTCAGAAAGTTCAACTGGATGGCTTTGATTTTTTTCTCCTCAATTCCCCTTGGATTTGCCTTGGGTGAGCAAGAAATCTGGGGTTTCATCTTCCTTCTGTGTTTCTCATTTTCTTTCTTTGTTTATTTGTTTTCTTTATTAATGTTTGTAAATTGCTTATGGTAGGTAGTATTGAGACCTCTTTATGACTACTTTTCAGAGATGTCTTCTAAGCATAGCTGGCTCTTGGCCTTTGATCCATCCCAGTATCCTGCTTCTGTTTATTGGGCATGAGATGTTGCAGCCTGTTTGGCCTAGCACCCAGTTCTTTGGTACTGTACTATAATATTGTTTATGTCCCCCAAACAATCTAGGTATTAGCATACAAGGAAGATCAATTGATCATGATCATAGCATCATAGCAAGTATGTCCTCTTGGCTAAAGTAGCACCATCAAACACAGACTGAAAAACGAGAAGCTGTGATAAGTAATAATTTCTCACTTTTAACCCTACATATAAGATATATAGTTATTTAACAAAATCTAAGACAAATCAGAAAATTATATACAGTAAATATCCATTCAATAGAGTAGTTTTACTCTAAGAGAAGAAAATTAAAAGTTATGGATAAGAGGAAAAAAATAGAGAAATAAAAAAAGAAAAGAAGAAAGAAAATTAGAAGGAAGGCTAAGGTACAAAGGAAGATTACTCAAATTTAGGAAACTTGTGAAGAAGACAAAAGGCAAGGAAAGAATTAAAAAACAAAAACAGACAAAACTAAACAAACAAAAAAAACTACAATGATCACCCTCACAAAAACAAATGATCAGAAAAACCCAAATGAAGAAGAAGGGGGGGGGAGAAGAAGAAGGAGGAGGAAGAGGAGAAGAAGAAGAGGAGGAGGAGGGAGGAAGGAGGAGGAGGAGAAGAAGAAAGAAGGAGGAAGAGGAGGAAGAGGAGAAGGAGGAAAAAACAGCAGAACCAGAAGAAGAAAAAGAAGAACTTGTTTCTCTGTGATTTCAAGCCTGTGGTTGTCTTCTGGGGTCTATAGTTTTGTGACAGTGTTCAACTCAAGATGTGACTCTGCTCTTGCTGGTGGGCAAAGGAGGCCATCAGAGCCCGGATCTGTGGTGGATAATCCCAGCAAACCAGCAGTAGGATTAGAGTAGGGTGCTAGATAATTCCAGAAAGCCAGAAATGGGTTTAGGGCATGGTGTTGGTTCTGGGACTTTCAAACCCATGAAAGTTCAGGCTGACCCTGATATCATGATGTTGGGGCCTGAGGTATTTAGTGTATAACACTCTGGTGTCTCGTGCTGGCCCACCCACAACTACCCAGCCATGGACATCTCCCGTGGTTGTCCCTCACCCAGTCACTGTGGGAGTTAACACTGTGAGCCCTGAGATGAAGCTGACCTGCAGCTGCTCTGAGTTTTGGGCTCAGTTGGCTCCTCCCTAAAATGGTGTCTGACCAAGCACGCTTTCCAGGGGACACAGCAGTCACTGGACCAGAGTCACTCACCAGCTACTGTAGCACACAGCATCCGCTGCTCCATTCCATGGTGTGTTTCTCCTTGGAGGCCTCTGGAGTCACTGCTTTCACTGTATCTCAGCAGATTCGATCTTCCTGTCTCATGCTACAAGCCAGGAGCCAAGGACAAAGTGCTGGTTGTCCCTTCCTTTTTCTCTGTTGTGGTCTGTCTCTTCAGTTTCTATGTTTTTTCTTTCTATGAACTCAAAGTCACACAGGATGTCTCATGAACCAAACTAGAAAGGCCACAGAATCAGGGCAAGGGTTTTCTTCTCATTCCCCATGAAAGCCAACTAAGCAGAGGACTAAGCCCACTGCTCACATAGGTGACCAACTGCAGAACTAGGAGAGGGCATCATTGATGAAAATCCCCCCCAGAACGTGATTTTAGCTAGACAATGACTTTCTTAGATCCAAGATACCAAAAATGTCCACTAAGAAATAGGTTAGAAAATCTGATCCAAAATTTTCATGAGAATCTGTGAAAATAGAACTCTGAATGTGTTAGCAGGACACTTTATTTTTTCTTAGCAAATTAAAATATAGGGAGCAAAATGGAGTAAATAAAAAATTCACTTAGCTCTTGGCAAATGGCAAAACCAGTGAAATTTACATATGAACATAGTCATTGGGTTTTTTTGGCAATTGTTTTGGTGAGTGTTTCTCAGGCTCTTAATCATGACTGATGCCTTAACATGAGATTTTTATTCTTTCTTTGCAGCCAAAAGATGACCTATATCCTTTGCTTCACCCCACTATGCACTGCTGGACTCCAACTAATGACCTGTATGTTGGCTCTGAAGAGGGTCATCTTTTAGTGATTAATGGGGAAACTTTGAAGGTGACTGTGCTTCAGAAGGTAGAAAAGACACAACCACTGGGTAAGAAATTGCTCTGCTTCATATTCCCAAAGGTTTAGCCCTGCTTGTTAATTTTGCATACACTTAAAGATGGATGTTTTGTTCCCTGTTTTTCCCTTTCTTGGAGCTATCTTTGACTTCTCCTCCTCTGCTGATTTAGCAATCCCTGTGGATACTCTTTTGGCCCAGCTACTATTGATTGGTGTTATCATACTTCCTGTTGTTTTGCTACCACTATATGCATCTTTCATGCAATCCTCAAAACGTTATAAGAAGATACACCTTCATCTCCGTGACACAGGGAGTGTGGCTATGAAATGCTCAGATTCACATAAATTGCAGAGCTGACCCCTGAACCAGCCAATAAGACCTCTGGATCCTAGTGTGAGCTGCTAACCTGTATCAGCTCCTACACAGATGCCTGTTCTGCACAGTTAGATGATCATGCCCTCTCCTGTCCCTCACTCCTCACAACTGTTTTCTCCATGATTAACCAAATGCCATCTTGAAAATTACCTTTGTGTTGCTCAATAACAATTTCGAAGAGTACCGATATATTCTCCCTTAAATCTGGTGTTCACCCTTGGTCCCATCAGCTGTGACCAGGTTGAGGCCTGGGCCGTAGGAGCAAATGTCCACCCAACAGAAGCTGGGTGCATACACTTTTAGGAGAGGGCTATATCAGGCCAAGCCCCAAACCTATCCAAGGCACTCTATTCCAGCTGCTTGTATCATTCCACTCTTTGATTTCTGCAACAATCTCAGGACTGACTGCATTGACCTTGAGCTACATCTGACTCAAACTGGGCTGCCACACTGCCTTTTTTGAAGATCGTTTTTAATACACAACTCGGCCCTGCCTTAACTTCTAGCCATCCTTAATGTGATCTAGGGGCTCCATTAGCATGATTTCCTACTCCCCCCACTATTTGTTCTCACCAGCTAGTATTCCTTCCTCACATTCCACACACATGCCTCCTCCCTCACTTCCTGCCATTCCCCCCTCAGCTGCATGGCCCTCCCCCCCTTCTCTCTCTCTCTCTCTCTCTCTCTCTCTCTCTCCCTCTCCCCCTCCTTGGCAAAATGCTGCCACCTGCCCTGGCCTTCACTCATGTGTCATCTGGGCTTGCTCCTCTCTCAGCTGGTGCATGGAGCACTGGCCCAGGGGCTCCCTGCAAAGTTACCCTCTTCCAGCTCTGTCCTTGTTCCTCCTGGGTGAACGTTTTACAATTCCTCATCCTTGCTGTGATCTCTCCAAATTGTCATCTGGCTTCTGTAGTGACTCTTTCCTAGGATGCCCCCTCTTCCTGGTCTACTTGGTGAGCTTTTCCTCCCATGTGGAGCCCTCCTTAGTCTTGCCCACCCTCCAGGCACAGTGAGGTGCCCTGTTTGGAGTTTCATGGGCCTCACTCCTTTGTGGGAACCTCACCCTGTACTGTTACAGTGGCCTGTGTGCATCCATCCCGGGAGTCATCAACTCTCTGAAGTCATTCAGAGACTTCATTCTTGAGCTCCTTCTTTGATTCCAAAGTACAATCTTGGGTATCACTACAGAATAAACTGACACCTACATGTATTTGTGAAATGAATTATAGAACCATACTTCTGATTTCCAAACTTCTATCATGCTTCTAATGTATTTTGCATAACTTAGGACTTAATGACATATAGTCTTATATTCATTTTTTTCTTCTTGTGTGCTGTTTCTTATGATTTCCATGATAAATGCTTTCAAATACCTAATTATCAAGCCTCTCCAATGCAGGAGGGACTAAAACATGGTGTTTTAGAGGTTATATAAGTGACAGATACATAGTCTCATAATTTCCATCCTCAAGGGACTTAGGTCTTATTAAAGATCATAAAATAAGTAGACAAATAATTATAGCCAGAAAGATAAAGAATAATATGGTTTCATTAGTTCAGAGCTTCACAAAATGCTATAGGGGTCCCAGGTGAGGGAAACCATTCCTGATGTCATTTTTGTTGTTGTTGTTCTTTTATTGGTACATTTTGGTGTACAATATGTTTACATTTATCACTGGGTGCTTGTACCTGTACATGATGTATCTTGGTTCTTATTTTCTCCCCATTACCTGTGCACTCTTCACACCCTCCACCCTTCCCTATTTACATAGATTTCATTTCCATTTTTTTTTCTTTTCTCATAATTTTTCCTTTCCCTCTTTTCCTTTCCCCTTCCCCTCCCTTCACTCCTTCATCTTTGGACCTTTT